AACTAAGATTAAAATATTGGCCTTAGTGAGATGCATAGTAAATTCCACATATTGTGTGTTGTCCTTAAAACTCACAGCTGTGTCACGCTTACTCTTCAGATGCTGGATAGAAATTTACTTCCTAAACCTATCCTCAACTTACCCGAGTGATAGTATAGACTAATAAAATCTTACTCATGGAAATTCAGTCACTTGCTAGGTCTTGTTCGAATGGAAAATTTAGGAGCATTACTGGCCTGTGTTCCTTAACTCACAATCACCTTAAATAGACCTGAAGTGAATGAAATCCTCCAGAGATGTGTTTCAGTCATTTCTCTCATGGCATCCTTTGTATTTCAGGACCCCAAACGCCATTTAGAAGAGCATGTGGATGTGCTGATGACCTCAAACATTGTCCAGTGTTTAGCTGCTATGTTGGATACAGTTGTATTTAAATAACCGATTTACTGTTTGTGATGCTTTCTGTGTATATTTGTTTATTGTTTCTAATACTCACAAAACAGAGACTGTTGAGGCTATATTTGATTAAACAGAGACATCTGACTTCATTTGCAATGTAAGTGCAGCACTATAACACCTTTCAGTCTCTAATTGTGCAGTTGCTTCAGTTTCTTTATGTCAGGGTCTTTACAGATTCCAAAGCATTCAAGAACACAATGTGGGCAAAAATGTATTACATTTTCATTTAATATTTGGGGGAAAAATCAGTAGTACATATATATTTTGATTGTTGCAACATAATAAAAATACATTTACAAACCTTTCTTAAGTTCTGGAAGGCCTTTTTTGATAAAGGACACTGGGAATTAACAGTGTACGGAAAGTGTTGGTAAGGGTTCATTTCTACCCACTGTAAAACTACTGAGATATTAATTGCTAAGACAGCAAAAATCCTCTAATGAAATTTGGCTCCCAGTGATTACCAGATACTCTAATTGAGATTAAAACAGAAATTTGTGGTAGCACTGAATTCTGAGGATGTACAAAACCCGAAATGCTGAAAATTCTCCTGACAGCTCCCTTTCAATATTATTCAAACCCTAATATCCACAGAAGACAACTGACCTTAAGAAAATGAATTCAGTTATGCTGATAACTGAATCACACAACTCTCACAAGCAGTGTCACAAATAGCAGTATTCTGAGAATAAACATTAAAGTGATAGAGGCTGTTCTAGGTTATATGAACCCTCCCTCCCGCGAAAGAGAATGTACATGAGTTGTCCGTATATATAAATATATGGAAAGAGTCCCAACTGGAATATGACATTTAAAACGGTTTCCACTGACTAGAGAGGGAAACACTGACGGGAAGGCAGGTGGGTTGGCTGCTTGGTTTTAAGCAGGCAAAGCCAAATAACTGGGTTTGGGGAGTGACTCTGGGTTGTGGGCAGCGGGCTGGTTGGGGTTTGTCTGGTTTTTAAGTATTGGATGGTACTTAGGCTGATTTGATTCTTTTGTCTGGGCAGAAGTGTTCTCTTTCTGTGTCACTCACAATATTTTGTTCACGGGATTTTGAAAAAAAAAAAGAATGAACGGCAACAATTGTGGCAGGCAAATATTTTAAAACTAGATACATCTTTTTGTGTTGATGATGATTTTTTTTTTAAAGTGACTTGACTTCTTACTTTCATAGTAAAGAAATAGCCCATAAAATTGTCTCATTTTCCACTTTGTGCCCAGTAATTTTCTATTTACTTATTCATTACCATTCAAAGGTTTTTCTTTTGTTTGGAATTTCTTATTTAGGTCTTTTAATTTACTATTTTAGCATAACTCTCTCTCAAAGTATATTTAGCATGCATTTACTTCAGAGGGAAACATGCAGATTTTTGCAGCTGCCCTCCTTATGGCCTTCCCTCTGCCCCCACAGTAGGCAGTGGAATATCAGACTGGGAAAATGGAGACGTACCAAACGACATTTGCCTGCATATAGTTAAATGGAAGTGCTTTCTGGCGATTTGCACTGAAAACCTGCGTATCATCAAAGAAGGCTGTATTTGGGCCTTGCTGTTGTCCGATGTGTGCATACACCCCTGCACCCCAGGGTGAGATGGGGCAGGAGCTGATCGGGGGAGCTGCCCTTGGGCTCATCTGCCAGCGGCGCTCTGCATCCCTGCCGCTATCTACTCCCACGCGCACGTGTAACACCACGAGGGTGCCATAGTTTGGCAGGTCGTGGGTAACATGGCACTGCAGAACAGGAGAGAAGCTATCGCCGTGCTGCAGTGTATACCTGCATGGAAGGCCGGTGTAAGCAGGGAGACAAACCAGTGAGTCTTGCGTATTCTAAATAAATTTTGACATGTACCTCTTGCAGAGGGTAGCTGAAGGGAGTCTGTTGGAGATGCAGATCTCCTGTAGTATGAGCTTGTGCTGTGGTACCCTGCTTTCTAGCCACTCCTCAGTTTGACTTGGAGGCACAATTTTCCATTTACTAAGATGTTTCATGAATAATCAAAAGGCTGTTTTTCGGGACATCTTTCCTCATTTTTGTCCAGTGCTTTAAGGAGCTACACAGAGGATTTGGAAGAATGTCTGCATGCAGTAACCTGAAAAGCAGCAGCTCATATACCATCTTGGAGGAAGAAAGAGGTTTTCAGCAGCTACCTTCTGAGCCTCCAGCCACAGTGGAGCAGACCTTCATTAGCAGCTTGACCCCTCGTCACCTGTCAGCATGAAGGACGGGCATATTGTATTAGCAAGCCTCTCTCCTTCTTTCTATGACGATTCTGTAACACCACCTGCCATTGCAAATCCCCCTATTGTACCAGTTTAGGAGTTGTGCACTGAAGATTTTTGGCATATATTAGCACTTCCATGTGATTGGCAGTATACCACTGAATTCATTGCAGCTCTGCATCTATATGGGTGTAGCTCCATAATTCAGGGCAGCATTTCCCAGGGTTTATCTGTGTTTTGACCCATCTCCTGCCTTTCTGTCGGTTTCGAGCAGAGAAAGGGACACATCTGGTGAAACAACTGTCGGAAACATTAGTTAGAACTCGTATTAATAAAACTATTTTCTTAGCACTCAAAGGAGAAGGTGTAGTATGGAAAGTTGCATGCGCTGTACTACCCGACTGCGAGTAAAACAGTGAACTGCTTGCTTTTTGCTTCATAAATTATTTTATTAGGATAATTTCCTTGCAGAGAGTGTGTGTATGATGGCTTCTGTGAAACACCAAATAACTGAACTAGCTCACGGTTAAGCAACAGAAAAACTAAATGGCCGTGGGATTTGAGAGCGTTAAAATACGCATTCTGACAAGTCATCCTGGTGCTAGTCTTCTCTGGATTTGAGTCTGCAAAGTTTCAGCCTGGCTTCAGATGGTTATATGCTGGGCTTGGTTTTATTACACGATGATCTGAGCTGCATTAACTGTCAGTGGAATTTGAAGCCGGCTGCTGGTGTCACCTGGAAAGAGATGCGATCTGTAAAATACCTGAAGTCCAAACCGCTAAGGGGGAAATACTAAGAAACATGAAAGAGGGCTCCTCCCCGGGCAAAAAAACGGTGCTTTTTAAAACTCACACGCTCGCCTAGGAAGGGAAATTGAGACTGATGCTGGGCAGGGGTGGGGGTGGCAAGCGAGTCCCCTGAACTCTTCGGGCGCATCTTCACGCCCCGCAGGGTCCCGCTTCCAGT